TTGAAACGCTTATAATTTCCATCACAACGACCAGCGAGTTCTTGTGACAGTGATGCTAATTCAATGGTGCTTTACTTTTGTAAGGCTGGGGCACTTTATTTATCCTTGGCTCCACTGAAACAGTTTTAAGATTACTTTTTCCGCTTGTAAACAACCCAGTTTTTAAGAGCTCGGCAGTGGTACTTACAGACTGTACAAAGCGCGCAGCGCTTCGGTTTTGTCTTTGATTTGAACAAACTTTAATAGATTTTTTAGGATAATACAGAGGGCATTAACTGCAATAAATGCATATTTGGTTTTCATCGAAAGCGCGGAAAATCATGGAGCGATAAAGATGTTTGTTGGCGTAAGTTCAGTTTCATTTGTTTCTCGGGAGTAGTGTATTGAACTGGTTTGATGTTTACATCTAATCAACTGTATGCAAGAAATGGTGAACAATCCAGAAAATTATTTGTTTGTGTGCGCTTTCCCAGTAACTAATGAAATTTCCAGGCTTAGTTTTGATAAAAACGCATGTTGCAGAAATTAGCTAGGCACGATCAGATGAAACAAGCAATCACGCACAAAGTAGTCAAATTTAACCAAGAAATTCGGCGTTTCGTAATTAGATAAAAGCTTCTGATCCGAGAAAGTTTTGGAAATATTTTCTTTTTAAAATATAGCAGAAAGTTTTAAAGATTTCATACTGCAGCTTGTGAATGCGATCCAGTAAAGCACACAGGAGCCTGTGATGATGAAACAGGTCATTGTGAATGTTTACCGAAATTTATTGGTATAAACTGTGATCGTTGCGCTCCTGGTTACTATTCACCGCCAGAATGTAAACCATGTGATTGCTCCGTGGATGGTACACTGGATAGGACCTGCCTGGTACTCTACTCTTAATTGACTGAGATTTAGTTTTTATAAAACTGTTCTTTGATTTACGAATTTAAATTACGGTTCCTAGTATTTTGGTGCGAACAGCAAAAGTTTGGTAAGAAGAGAGTACTTTTCTGCTCTGATAAAGTCCCGATAGTTTTTTCATTTTAAAATCCAAAAAATCTGAATTGAGTAGCGCCACATTCGTCACAACCCAGGCAGCGGCACATCGGGCTTGCCGGTGTGATCATGCGTTTTTACATGACTCCATTCTTTAACGAAATCGCCTGTACGCATTAAAATCAACATCGATGTGCTGAAATGCGAAGAATGACTAACAGTCAGGTGCGGGAAAAGACCAATTTTTAAGTGATCGAGGCAAGAGTAGGACTGTGCGCGCTGTGTTGCCCAACGGGTTGCATTCATTTGAATACACCGAATTCGATGTTAGTCAGGATGGTTTGAGCACTTTACTACCGTAACTAATTTTTTTAACTCCAATTTCGATGTATTCTAATTCATCCTTGGCTAATTTTTCTTTACCAACGCGAATCATTTAGTGAATCTGCTTCAGCCGAAAGATATTTTTTTCTAAAATCGGAACAAAATTTTAGCCTGTCGATGGCCGATGTCCATGCAAGGGCAATTATGGTGGGACATTCTGTCAGTCTTGTGCATCCGGATACACAAATCTCACAGCTGGCTGCATTTGTAAGTCCCATTTCCTCCCAGTTAAAAGTAAATAAACTGTTTCTTGAGAAAGAATGTAATTATGCGTTTTTTGCAGCAATGCAATGCAAAAAACGCATATTGACGAGAGGTTGTCTGTGTGT